CTCCCATATTTCTCAACCTGCCTCAACTCCTAGGATACTGTCAATTAGGATAAATTCTTCAACTGGGAAACTAGATTCTAAGGAATCTAGCTAGCCTAATAGAAAATATCTAAAGATATTGATATCAGAAGTTCAATACTTCTCAACCTGCCTCAACTCCCAAGATACTGTCAGTTAGGATAAGTCCTTCAACTGGGAAACTAAAACACCTTCTCTAAGGAATCTAGCTAGCCTAATAAAAAATATCTAAAGATACTGATATCAGGAGTTCCAGTGATAAAAAACCCCAGGTTTCCATGGGGTTTTCACCCCATGATGAAAGCCATGAATCACAGAGTTTTAATTTTTTTTAATAAATTAATTTTTATTGGTGTTCAATTTACCAACATACAGAATAACACCCAGTGCTCATCCCGTCAAGTGTCCCCCTCAGTGCCCATCACCCATTCACCCCCGCCCCCCGCCCTCCTCCCCCTCCACCACCCCTAGTTCGTTTCCCAGAGTTAGGAGTCTTTATGTTCTGTGTCCCTTTCTGATATTTCCCACACATTTCTTCTCCCTTCCCTTATATTCCCTTTCATTATTATTCATATTCCCCAAATGAATGAGAACATACACTGTTTGTCCTTCTCTGATTGACTTACTTCACTCAACATAATACCCTCCAGTTCCATCCACGTTGAAGCAAATGGTGGGTATTTGTCGTTTCTAATGGCTGAGGAATATTCCATTGTATACATAGACCACATCTTCTTTATCCATTCGTCTTTCGATGGACACCGAGGCTCCTTCCACAGTTTGGCTATTGTGGACATGGCTGCTAGAAACATCGGGGTGCAGGTGTCCCGGTGTTTCATTGCATCTGAATCTTTGGGGTAAATCCCCAGCAGTGCAATTGCTGGGTCGTAGGGCAGGTCTATTCTTAACTCTTTGAGGAACCTCCACACAGTTTTCCAGAGTGGCTGCACCAGGTCACATTGCCACCAACAGTGCAAGAGGGTTCCCTTTTCTCCGCATCCTCTCCAACATTTGTGGTTTCCTGCCTTGTTAATTTTCCCCATTCTCACTGGTGTGAGGTGGTATCTCATTGTGGTTTTGGTTTGTATTTCCCTGATGGCAAGTGATGCAGAGCATTTTCTCATGTGCATGTTGGCCATGTCTATGTCTTCCTCTGTGAGATTTCTCTTCATGTCTTTTGCCCATTTCATGATTGGATTGTTTGTTTCTTTGCTGTTGAGTTTAATAAGTTCTTTATAGATTTTGGAAACTAGCCCTTTATCTGATACGTCATTTGCAAATATCTTCTCCCATTCTGTAGGTTGTCTTTGAGTTTTGTTGACTGTATCCTTTGCTGTGCAAAAGCTTCTTATCTTGATGAAGTCCCAATAGTTCATTTTTGCTTTTGTTTCTTTTGCTTTCGTGGATGTATCTTGCAAGAAGTTACTGTGGCCAAGTTCAAAAAGGGTGTTGCCTGTGTTCTCCTCTAGGATTTTGATGGAATCTTCTCTCACATTTAGATCTTTCATCCATTTTGAGTTTATCTTTGTGTATGGTGCAAGAGAGTGGTCTAGTTTCATTCTTCTGCATGTGGATGTCCAATTTTCCCAGCACCATCTATTGAAGAGACTGTCTTTCTTCCAGTGGATAGTGTTTCCTCCTTTATCGAATATTAGTTGACCATAAAGTTCAGGGTCCACTTCTGGGTTCTCTATTCTGTTCCATTGATCTATGTGCCTGTTTTTGTGTCAGTACCACACTGTCTTGATGACCACAGCTTTGTAGTACAACCTGAAATCTGGCATTGTGATGCCCCCAGATATGGTTTTCTTTTTTAAAATTCCCCTGGCTATTCGGGGTCTTTTCTGATTCTACACAAATCTTAAAATAATTTGTTCTAACTCTCTGAAGAAAGTCCATGGAATTTTGATACAGATTGCATTAAACGTGTAAATTGCCCTGGGTAACATTGACATTTTCACAATATTAATTCTGCCAATCCATGAGCATGGAATATTTTTCCATCTCTTTATGTCTTCCTCAATTTCTTTCAGAAGTGTTCTGTAGTTTTTAGGGTATAGATCCTTTACCTCTTTGGTTAGGTTTATTCCTAGGTATCTTATGCTTTTGGGTGCAATTGTAAATGGGATTGACTCCTTAATTTCTCTTTCTTCAGTCTCAGTGTATAGAAATGCCATTGATTTCTGGGCATTGATTTTGTATCCTGCCACACTGCTGAATTGCTGTATGAGTTCTAGCAATCTTGGGGTGGAGGCTTTTGGGTTTTCTATGTAGAGTATCATGTCATCGGCGAAGAGGGAGAGTTTGACTTCTTCTTTGCCAATTTGAATGCCTTTAATGAATGACAGAGTTTTAAATAAGCTTTTTGATGCTGCTCTTAATTACCAACAGACAAGCAAAGATAACAAAATAAGTGAAGAAAGCTACTAAAAGGAATACTAAAATACAAAATAAACATATAAGGGAAAAAATAGAGAAAACACTATGCAGGAAGAAATAAAACTTTCAAAAACTATTATTAATATCTTCAGAGTAAATACTGTATCTATAAAACAAAGCCAGAATCCTTGGAAAATATTGAGAGAACAACAACAAAAAAAAAAGCCCTTTGGAAATTAAAAGTATGACAATAGAAATGAAAAATCCACTGGAAGTGTTGGCAGATGAAGTTGAAAAACCCTCCCAGGAAGTGGAGCAAAAAGACAAAAACATGAAAAAGCTAAGAGGTCCAACTCCAAATGGCAGGTGCTCTGGAAAGAGAAACTGGATAGAAAGAAATCATCAATAAAATAATTCAAGAAAATGTACCAGCCTTGAAAGATTTGCATTTCCAAATTTAATGGCTCACAAAGTACTCAGCACAAGAGATAAAAATAGACCCACACCAAGACCCATCACTTTAAAACCTCAAAATACAGGAGACAAAGACAGGATGTTAATTCCTGAGTAGGAAAAAAGTTATACACAAAGTGGGGGCACATGGGCTAAGCCTCTGTCTTCAGCTCAGGTCACGATTTCAGGCTTCTGGGATTGAGCCCCAAGCCAGGCTCCCTGCTCAGCAGGGAGTCTGATTCCCTCTCTGCCCCTCTACACCCCTATCCCCCTGCTTGTGCTTTCTCTCTCACTCATGCTCTCTTCCTCAAATAAATAAATCAATCTTTATTTTTTTTAATTTTTTTGTATATCCATTTGAGAGAGAGAGAAAGAACATGAGTTGGGGGAAGGGACAGGGGGAGAAGGAGAAGCAGGGAGCCCAACGTGGGGATCAATCCCAGTACCCCCAGATCATGACCCAAGCCTAAGACAGACACCTAGCCAACTGAGCCACCCAGGCACTTCAAAAAAAAAAAAAAAAGAGTTCTACACAAAGCACCAAGAATCAGAATATCATTGAACTTTTCAACAGCAACACTAGAGGTTGCATACATACTTTGAAATATATAGTAGGTAGGGGAATTGAATTGGAGATAAAAAAGGAAAATACTATATTTTAAATTTTTTTAAAGAGTAGCCAAAGACCAGTATCAATTGGGTATAACAGAGAAAGACCAAATCCATTTTGTGCATATAAGAGACAACCAAATTAATAGAGGCACATACATATATCTTACAAATTTATGAGATCCACTATCCCATCTCCACTCACAGCTCTAGCCACTCATGCCAGCTTTCTGTTGCTCGGACATCCCGTGCTCATCACCATCCCAAAGCCTTTTTGAACTAATGGTTTCTTCTTTCTGAATTGTTCCTTCCCTGGCTCTTTGAACAGTCAATTCCTTTTCATCTTTCAAGTCTCATCTCAGCATTTCACCATTTCAGAGAGGACTTCCTTTATCCTCCTATGCAAATTAACCCCTTCAGTCCTATCAGTCCCTCTCTGCAACAGCTGCTTATAGATTCCTTTAATAGGAGCTATCAAAATTAAATGTCCTTGTTTGCTTACTCATTGTTTGCACCTCTCCATCTTTACAATGTAAATTCCATGAGGGCAGAAATCATGTATATCCCATTACTTCTCCTGTAGCACTTGAATCAAGAATAGTGCCTGGCACATAATCCGCGTTCCATCATTTATTTGGAAAAGTAAAAGGTCAGTGAAGATGAGATCAGGAACCAAGAGGCCATGGTATTGGATGAGTTGTCAATATGGATGTTAAGTCAGGGAGAATGATGACAGCATTTAGAAGAATAAGAGTAAGCCAGATACTAAATCCTCCCATGAATGCAGGAGATAGGGTGTTCAATGGATGATGCATCAAGGAGTAAAAAAGCATAGCATTACCAGATGGCATGAGCAGATTTTTGTAGGCAGGATGGAAATGTCTGTTTCAATGCAGCACTGGAGAGTAAGAAGACATCTACTTCACCTCCTAGCCTTTAGGTGGGTAAGATATAGGAGAAGAATAAGTCTTCATTTGAGACATTGAAGGGATAGCCAAATTTCTTTTTTTTTTTTTTTTAAATTTCAACTTTATTTGGCCAATGTGTTCAATTCCGCTATCATGGTAGAAATGGCTGAAGAACGGCCTGCACGTGGTTCGGCTCAAGCACCCTCGGCCGTTTCCCAGCCTGGAAATGGAGGGTTCTGGTTCTGCCTGGGGCAGGCCTCAGGCTACCCTGGGAGTCAGAGCACTGGGGAGCCCAGATTGCAGGGGAAGGGGTGCTGCCCGGGCCCGTCCGGGCTCAGCCAGCACCCACCGCCCCTCCAGTCGTTTCTAAAAGGCCCCCCGAGACAGAGACCCAAAGTCTCCATTTAAGCAAACAATGTGAGACCCACGCTCGGTCATGGCAACACCGGCACCAGGTGGGAGGGACCCGTCCAGCCCGGCCTGGCCCCTCCCCACACAGGGGACAGGAGTCTCCAGGGAGGCCCGGCCAGAGTGGAACAGACACCCTGACGTCCAAAAATGTCTCAAAATCCCACAAATGGAATTTTTTTAAAGTGAGAGTATAAACCTAACAGGAAGGAGGCTTCACCTGCATGAGATCCCAAGACATTTTAACGAGCACTTTGGACAAAACCATGTACGAAAAAGTACATCACAATTTAAAAAAAAACAGCCCATCAAGATGGGCTGGCCTGGAGATAAATCCCTTTCCAAAAATTGAAAAGCAGAAGGAAGAGACGGGCCTAAGTTTACACGTGTGTTAGGATGAAGTGTGGCTTCAGAAAAGTTCCCTGCATTTCCGATCGGTGTTCCCTCCTCCCGGTGAGGGTCCGCGGGCTTCCAGAGGCCGTGCTGCTGGACGTGCAGCCGTGGGGGTCGTGTCTGGGGTGCCCAGGTCTGCACTCTGCCTCACAGCTCGTCTCTCACAGTTTTCTGATCCTCCTCCTCCTCCAGGTCAGGCTCCTCTGCTTCTTCCAGATCTTCCAGATCGTCATCGTCCCCAGCTCCGTCCTGGCCTCCGCTCTCCAAGAACTTCTTAAAACCCTCTAGTGTCCGCTCACCATTGTAATCAATGACCGTCCTGTCCGCGCTGGCGGGGAAGAACTTGAGCGTCGGGAAGCTGTGCACTTTCACTGCCTCCACCTCGTTAGCCGTCGAGTCCATCTTGGCGATGACGATGTTTTCGTGGTCCTTGTACGTCTCTCCCAGCTTATCCCAAATGGGAGCCAGCTGTTTGCAGTGGCCACACCACGGCGCGTAGAATTCCACAAAGACGTTCTTTTTCTCATCGAAAGCGACCTCCTCAAAGTTCTTCCCAACGAGCACCTTGACGGGCTGCTTGTCCCAATCTTCAGGCAGCTCCTGGCTCATGAGGTGGGGCTTGATCTTTCCTTCCAGGAAGCGGTGGCAGAAATCTTCGATCTTCTCAGCCGTGAGCTCGGTCGACTCTGGCTTGTACTTGGTCATCTCCTCCTCCAGGGTGATGAGGCGCACGGCGGGGCACTCCTCCTTCTTGAGGCCAAAGAACTCGAGGATGCGCTGGTTGTCAGTGTGGTCGCTGTCGATGAAGATGAACAGGATCTTCCCCTTGAAGCGCTCGGCCGCCTTCTTGAAGTTGCTCAGTTTGCTGTCGTAGTCAGACACGCTCTTGGGCAGGAACAGCAGGATGTGGGTCTTGATCTCCCCTCCGAAGATCTTCGGGGCCGTCTGCTCTGTGAACTCGATGACCAGTGGCAGCTGGTTGTGCTTGATGAAGTCCAGCAGCTTCTCCTTGCTGATTTCTCCCTCGAAGTTGTTGCGGCCTTCGTCAAACTTCTTGAAGAGGACAACCCCATCCTTGCTCAGCTGGTATTTGGAGAACACGTCGCTGTTGGACGTGATCCCGAAAGGTATGTCATCAATGGCCTCTGCCGCCAGCAAGAACTGCTTGGCAAAGTCCGACTCCACGTCCTTGAAGAAGCCAATGACGGTCACCTCGCTGGACTCCAGCAAGGCCTCTGCGGCGGCCCCATCGGGCAGCGTGGTGGCAGCAGGGCCTGTGCGTTTCTTCAGCCAGTTTACAATGTCCTCAGCTTCTCTGCCAGCTGTGTACTCCCTGGGAGCAGCCGTGTCTCCGTTCTTGAAGAACTTGATCGTGGGGTAGCCACGGACCCCATACTGCTGGGCCAGATCAGACTCTTCGGTGGCATCGACCTTTGCCAGCCTGATCTCCGAACCTTCTGCCTTCAGTGTCCCGGCGGCTTTGGCGTACTCGGGGGCCAGAGCCTTGCAGTGGCCGCACCAAGGGGCATAGAACTCCACCAGCAGGTACTTGTGCGCCGCCAGCGCCTCCTCGAAGTTGCCCTTGTGCAGCACCAGGACGTGGTCCTCCTCCTCCGGGGCGGCGGCGCCCGCGCGCGTGAGCGCGGCCAGGGCCAGGCAGAGCAGAGCGCGGCGCAGCATGTCGGCAGCGGGCGCGGCGCTTCGGTTGGCGCCGCCGGGACAGCGAGGCCACGAGCGGGATAGCCAAATTTCAAATAGAGAAAGGAGACAGGAAAATTCAGAGAAGGTAAAGATGAGTTTCCTAATGACATTTCCAGAGGGTGTGATGGAAGGCATAGGTTATGTTATAAAAGTGGTTCTCAACCAGAAGCAATTCCTACCCCACCCCAGAAACATTTGTAAGTATCTAGAGACATTTTTGGTTGTTAACTCAGGAGGTATTAACTGGCATCCCATGAGACCAGAGGCACTGCTAAACATGCACTGAACAGCCTCCCATAACAAAGAGTTAGCCTCACCAAAATGTCAACAGTGCCAGAAACTCTGGGTTGAGAAACATTGGAATACAGGATGGAAAGAACCAGATGGGATGAAAGTCCAGTTAGGGATAAAATGCATTTAGGAGTCACCAAGGCAATTCAGGTCGGGCGGCATGATGAGATTAGTCCTGAAAGATTGTGAGATGGAAATGGGAAACCACAGCTGTTGCTGAAGTTAAAGTCCACATAGCTAAGAGAATGGCAGCTACCCAAGACAGCTCCATCTAGGATAATGGAGATCTGGACAGCAGCTCCCAGAGACCAGCAGTGTAATGGAATACACAGGTGATATCTCATGGATGTTTGGCTTGGCCAAGTACCCAGGATTCCCTAGTTCTGAGTGTCATCTTCTGAAGAACTGAGGAACCCTTGGAAAACATTAACATTCAAGATGCCCTGAGCCCTCTTATTTGCCATATTGTTTACTTCCATTACTTCTCCTAAAGTGGCATGATGGTAAGGTCAAGGTGAGCTCCATTTTAAAGTAATTTTTCTTGAAGGTGCATATCGTTAACCAGGAACTAGATAAGGAAGGGCAAAACAAGGGGGAAAAACAAATACTTATGGAACTCTTAGGTACCAGGTATTGTTCCAGGTATTTACCAACCATATGAAGTAGAGATTTAGAAATCTGTTATAGAGGTGAGCAATATGAGGCTGCAGAGACTATGGGCTTTGTAGATCATACAACCAGGATAACTTCGTAGCTATGATTGTAACTCCAAATAGTGTGGCATTAAAGCATGTGGGATTTCTACTCTGATATTCAGTTCCCGGAATCACGCCTTGCTTATGTAGGCATACTAAATATTGGATGGATGGATGGATAGATAGATAGATGCATGGATGGATGGATGGATGGATGGATAAAGGGAGTGATGATGAACAGAGCTCATTTGTATGGCTCATCCACATTTTTTCCTCCTACCTTGTCCCCTGGTTTTATTGTGTATTCTGCTCTGGTTTGGCTTAGTTTTTTTTTTTTTTTGAAATTATGATCAGCTTCTGATTACCCATGGTAATAGAAGAGATAGATAATAGAAATAATTGAAAGCAAAAGTCAATCCAGAAATAATTTCTATTTAGTGTGGGGATTTTGTTCATGCCCTTTTAAACAGCAGATTTACCAACCTAATTATATTTTACCTTGGCAAATATTAAAATTATTTTTCATTCCTTAAACACATACCAATTGGTGGTAGGTAAGGTAAAGCGAGACACAAGCTGGATGGCAGAAAAAGGCAAGCAGGGACATAAAACTTGAGAGCAACAAATTTATAAGCTTTATTACCTACAAGTGAGTGATGAAGAATTTATTTATAACCCCAGAAAGAGTCCTTTAAATTTAATAAGAAATAATGAGTCATTTCTCTCTGGATGTTTTTCTATAGTATAGTCTGTACAGAGCTATTTTTAAGAATCTCTTTAGAAAGATTTTGACTTGCCCATTTCCTTAGCAGTTGATATCTCAGTCTTTGGCTGAGGACAAGGGATCATGAAAGAAACCAAGTTGGCTCAAGCTGTCTTCATGAGTCCCTTGGTCCCTTGGTCAGGGGGATGAGCCAAGCCCAACCCCCTGGTAAAACTTTCCATTCCCTCTCCCACCAAAGTGTATGTCAGAACTTACACCTTACCCACTTATAGGCCAGCAGAATACAATAAGACATGAATCCCCTAATCCCCCCGCCCCCCTTCTTTAGGGAACCAGCATGAAAGCAAGAGTGGGAATGGAAAGAGCTCAGAATTTAGAGTGAGAAAAACCTACATTATAGTCTCCCACTTACTGGCTATGTGACCCTGGAAAATCCCCTGTATTGACTCCCCTAAGCCTCTTTCCCTTATTTATAAACTGGAGATGATAATGCCCATGAGCAGGTGACATCCTGCAGGCATCTGAAAGGCTGGGCTAAATTATAAAAACAATAAATAATGTATGAGGTCAGTTGTGCAAATGGCACCTCAGAGACAAAATGTTTCCTGTGCCAGCTGCAGAAAGAGAAACAAATTAGCTTCATTTGTAACCACGATATTAATTCGGAACACAAACAATAGGTCAACAAAAGAAGTGTCCAGAAGAAGGGAAGGGAATGCCACTGGAACCCAGGAAAGTGAGATGCAGAGACACAACAGGAAACAGCCCACATTCCAGGAGGAGTCCCACCCCTAGGAATCTACCAGCCCAGAGGCTACCCAATTGTTAGCCTGATGCCTTTAAACCCTGGAAGTGTGGCCTATGCTGTCCAGGAAAACTTATGGTAAATTAACTTCCATGTGGTTTCCCACAGGACGGGAAGGGGCTAGCCAGGGGATAGATAGGTCTGTTCAGTCTTCACAAATTCACTTCAGAGGTTCATTATAAGGCACAAAGAAGACCCCATAAAAAAGTACTTCGTAAACTGCCCAGTTCTGTGTGTTGCACTAACATCCTCAAATGGTGAGTTTCACTGGGCAGGTTCAACTCTCAGCTGTGACACCTGGGTCCGCCTGACCTATTACTTCCAGAGCTCAAACATCTCAGTGAATCCTGAAAGTAGAGAAATGCAAGAAGAGTTGCTAGATGCAAGAAGTGCCATCTCTTTGTCCCCTGTCCCTGCTTGCCTAACTCTCAGTCCATTCTGCCAGATATACCATCAGCTAGTCATTTGCCTCATAGTTTAAATCCCATTCATCACTGCCAACAGTTAGCTTCTTGTCCTGCCTTCCAAATACTATTTTAATATTCCTCCTGGATTTGTAGCAGTCCCCCTAACAACACCACAGTCTCTCCTCATGGGTTCTGACATTCCAATTTCTTGGATATTCTTTTGAAGTTCTCCACAGTAAGAAAGTCTGTTTTGTATCACAAAACTCTTCTTCCCCTCTTGGATCCCATACCTAAAATTCAAAGCTCTCCCCAATGATTCCATATAATTTAGTTTCATTTAACCACATGATAATTTATTATTTAGCTTGGGTCAAGGCCTAAAACCAGAGTTTTGGTAAAAACAGCTAGAGGATGATCCAGGTCTGAATTCATTCATTCATTCATTCATTCATTCATCTATTCATTCATTTAGCAGTTCCCACAATGCTCCTATGTCTGAGCTCTAAGAATGAAGAGATGAGGAACTTGGCTTCTGTCCCAAGATTTTGGAGCCTGACAACCAGGGCTCAGATCCTGCCACTGCCACTTGCTTGTTATTTAATCTTTCTGTGCCTCTAATTACTTACCATTTCTCAACCCTAGGATGGAAATTCTAGTCAAAATAATTTATGTGTGGATTGTATAGGAAAGGTCTTAGCAGAATGCATGGCATAGAGTATCCTCAATAATTGTTAACTATAAATAGTATTTTTAGCTAGCAACTACGGACATGCTCCCAATGAGCCCCACCTCCTAGTGCTCATGTCTTTGCATAACCTCTTCCCCTTTGAGGTGTGTAGGTCCTAGTGACTTGCTTCTAACAAATAGAAACAGCAAAGAGTAATGGGATGCTACTACTGTGATTAGGTTACAAAACACCTTGACTTCCAACTTGTTGGCATCCTCCCTCTCTCTCTTTCTCACTGCATCCTGTCTTTAATGAGAGGACCCCTTATCAAGGAATTGAAAGTGATTTCAAACCAACAGCCAACAAAGAGCTAAGGCCAAGAGGAAATATATGACAACACCACATGAGTGAGTGTGGACATATAACCTGGTCAAGTTGAAACTTGAAATGATTGCATCCCTAGCCAACACCTTGATTACAGCTTTTGGGAGGAAGTTGTACTCAGTGGTTCAGTGGTTGAGCATCTGCCTTTGGCTCAGGTCATGATCCCAGCATCCTGGGATGGAGCCCCATGTCAGGCTCCCTGCAGGGAGCCTGTTTATCCCTCTGCCTATGTCTCTGTCTCTCTCTGTGTCTTTCATGAATAAATAAATAAAATCTTAAACAAAAAAAGAACAAAGCAGCTCATGCTAAATGCTTGGGGTTTCTCTTGGGGTCAAAGTAAAGTAATCAAATATTCTTTAAGCAAAGTAGAAACTTAATTTCTTCTTAAATAATAAGGCAAATACAGAGTCATAAAGGAAACATCGTTGAAGAGACAAAGCCAGGACGACTTCTTGAACTGGCATATTTTCCAGGACATAAAGTTGGAAAACTTCCAAAGAATTGAAATCTCTTATTTTTAGTCCCTCCCGCTCTTAAGGGATTTATGGCACCAAGTTTAATGGTGAAGAAAAGAAACAGAAGTGAAGTTACTGAAATAAACAATTTCATTAACTTCAAAATCACTGAGTTCAAAATCAATTAAATTTGTAATACCCTTATTGAAGACAGAAGTAGTGAATTAATAACAGTGAAAATGAGTTGTTAGGAATACAAAAGGAGTGAGACTTTTGTAAATAACTGTTGGCATTACAGTTTCCTAAATCAATAAAGATACATCATTTTTTATTTGCACACCTCTTTTTAAATCCCAAATCAAGATTTTACATATACCTGCTCTTGGACTAGTCCCATAAATCAGTTTGAAAGTGACCTAGTTTTTGCACATGAGCCATAATATCCATGTATCTAGGTCTTGTCATCATACGACAAAAGGACTGAGATAAGAATAAGATAAAAAGCTTCTGCACAGCAAAGGAAACAGTCAACGAAACTAAAAGGTGTCCTAGGGGGATGGGAGAAGATATTTGCAAATGAATATCACATAAAGGGCCAGT